AGCCAAGCAAAATTTATATAGTTTTGCCTTTATTAAATTGTAAAATAACATTCCTATTTCACCGATTTCTCTATATTATCATTAACAATGACTTTGAATTTCCATTTAGCTTCAAAATATTCCGATAAAGTTCACGAAACAATTTCCTATTATTTTTATATAATATTTCGGTTAATCAATGTTATTTTCGGAATAGAGTTATATTCATTAATATTAAGACGTAACTAAACATACTTCCCAAACTATATTCGTGCCCTAATATTATTGGCATTTCAATACTTGGACTATCGGTGCCCGCAATTGAACTGAATTATGCATAGTTTCTATTTCTCAATATCTAATTTAGTCTAAATAAGCGTATTTCAACTACAATGTTATGAAAATTATTTCACTTAAACTTTATTTAAATAAATAAAGCTTTATATATTTACGTCTCTGCTAGCACAAATTATATTCGTTGATATTGCAGCCGAACAGAACAGAAGAAAGAGAGAGAGAGAGAGAGAGAGAGAAAGAGAGAGCGTAATGAAAATCAAGATTTACGTATATGAAAACCAAAAAATTATTGTAGAATATATAAATGTTTATTAACTTATGCGATAAAATATGGTTTTAGAAAATCGACTTCTCCATTATTTTATTTCCAAACTAAAAATGTTTAATAGCCGGTTATATCAAATTACTGCGAAATGCCACGATTGTACAATAACTACGTATAAGAAGGTATAATAATAAGAATAATAATAACAACAACAACAATATGTAGAATAATAATAACAACAACAATAATAAAATTAGTAATATTATTGATAATAATAATGATAGTTATATATTTGGATCTAAAGCGTTAAATTATTATTAATTATTTTCAACCATTAGATATTCAAAGAGTATATGTTTAGTATTTTATAGAATAACGAAATGCTCGTGCACGTTTCTCAACATTTTTATCCCGATAATATTTTATCACTGAGGGTAAGAAAAAGTTTTAGATAGTGCGGAAACGTGTTGCATTGCGATTGCAACATTTGCCATCAAAGATTCAGAGTTTCATAATAATATCTCCTATAACGAATAAAAAGATTTTTAGATAATTTACTTTCAGCTAATGATTGTCGTTACACTTATGTGCCGGATTACACCTTCACTTGGAATGAAAAAAATTATATTTCCCCAAAATTTTATTCTGTTAAACTAACAGACAATTAATATTTATGCCATATATAATAATATTTTTACTCTTTTGTTTTCATTGGAATATACCTCGAATATATAATGCCATTGATAGTAAAGCAAAGCTTTAGAAAAATGAACTCGTAATTGCCTTTTAACATTGTGTAAACGTATACCTTGATTAATGTAAAGTAATTGAGAATCTGGCAAAAAGAACTTTACTTATAAAAGTAAAAAATATTTCAATTCATTCGGAGTATTTACTCATCGTAGAAATTTATATCAATTTCTACATGACCACCCCATGTAAGCTGAATTCATCTTCCAACTCTTTCTTATTAACCCTTCAAGAAGTGATATATAATATGTGAAAGAAGACTCCTAGTGTTTTGAGAGAAATTAAAAAAAAAAAAACAAAATAATCTCTGTGAATTGTATATTTCTATAAAAATAAGAAAAAAAAAAGAAATATCATTGCTCCACCCGTTGCCTGCCTATCTTACTAAAAATTATAACCAATAACGGAAATGTTTTCAACAATGTTACGTAGGGCAATTAAAAGCATCCTGTAGAAAAATAATAATTAATCATGACGTTATGTGGCTGTAAACGAAGAAATACATTATGGGATAATTTACTACTCTTATTTAAATTAATTTTGTCTTGATTAAAACTTCTTTCGCAAGATACATCTATCCATTAATTGTAGCTGCTAATCGAATTTCACGCTCAGCCATTTTACAATAACTATCAGCAATAAGTGAATTTTAATTACTTTTAATTACAAATATCCTTATCCCAGGATTCCATACTTTGATTCAACACTGCAAATATTGAAATTATCCTTAATTCTCATTGGGACTCAAAAGACCTCAAAACTTTAAATAACTACGCTTTACTTACGACTCCATGGCAATATCAATCTAATACAAATGAAGCATTAAATGAGCGCAGGCCGGGGTCGCCCACGGAACACATTGGCTTTAGGAAATCGAGTAGCAAAATAGAGGCGCTTGTTAAAGATGAAAGAAGGAAAAAATAAAAAATAAAATGGGAAGGGTATAAAGATAAAAGAAATCTGCCCGCTGAGTAAATGTTCAACGTGACAGATTGAATAATCGCTCGACAATGAAAGACCAAACGCAGTCATAAATTCAGGGCGCGCGCCAGTACAATAATTACAACGCAAAGCCTCTAATCACTCATACCGATCAATCATTCGTCGCGTAAGATAGAAACACGGGCATAAGTCAAAAATTCCGCTCCTTCACCCAAGGCCGCGCAGTCCATTTAATTACCTTTGCTCGCAGCGGAACATAGTCCGCAGCTCGGTGAGCTCGCCGAATAATTTATAAGCACTCGAAAGTGAATAAGTAGCCTTGGCGGGGATGGGGGCCCGTACCACGACTAAGCCAATAGCCGAGCGGAGCGCCCTACGGCGGCAATGGCTGGGGGCGGCTGGGGGCGGAAGAGACAGCGCTGGTAGCCAGCGGCAATTATCGCTATTATTGCCCGGCACTGGGACTCGCTCAGCACTCAAAGGTCCCCCGATATCGCAAATGATCCCGCGGTCATTATTCTATTGAGCTCGTGTACGTAAGAAGCGGCGACGTCTTGGATTGAAGAGAGACACGACATCCTGTGCTTGACGGGGCCTCGTACGACTCGGTTGCCTGCTGCCGCACTTAATCGGCGATGATTTTTTCGACTGCGGATCGGTCCAATCGCCGCGCGCTCGCGTTGTCCAATGCATACTTGGGCCTTTATTTATTCAACCATAAAATCAGGCCTCTCTCGCTTAGTTTATTTCAAAATTCCTCCGGCTCCTTGCCCCCGGGCTTTGGTTTACTTGCTTGTGGATTAAGAGGAATTATATCGGCGGAAAGGCAGGAATATTTTATGCCTTTAAACAGAACAAAAAAATTTGGATAAAATGTATGAATTTTTATACATAGAATGTTTTCGTTGGCTAACAAGTTTCATCGTTCTCTCTCTCTCTCTCTCTCTCTCTCTCTCTCTCTATTTATTTATTTTTTCACTTTTTTCATCTTTCTACTTTCTATTTTTTTAAATTTTATATATATATTTTTTTATTTTCTTTTCTTTTTTTTTCACATTTACGTACCGACAATACTGATTTGTTGAACATTTGTAACTCGAAAATAGATAAATAGCTGCCAATGTTTCCCCAATGAAAAATCTTCTCAATTTTAAAATGAGCATAAAGTATGTTCAACGTTAAAGTATTACCAAAAAAAAAAAAATCTGTTGGGAAAACAATAGACAATGGGCGTAGATTTTATACAACTGTAAATTCAATTTTTTTTTAATACCTTTTGTAACAATACTTGTGTTTTAAGTATGAACATTTTATTATTAAATAAAAAAAACGTAATAATATTATCTAACAAATAAAAATAGAATTTTTATTTACAATTTTAGGATGACATTGATAATAATATAATATTACATCGAAAGTACTTTAAAACAATATTTTTTACATTCCATTCTATAGAACCTAGGAAGCTGTGATAGTAAATTCGGAAATAGTTATCAATTCTCAATTATATATACATATTATATATTATATATTCTCATATATATATATATATATATACACACGTATATATACGTATGTATGCACGCACTTACTCACCACAACACCATACACATAATTAATCCAAATAATCACCAATGGGTTTCACTAATTTAAATTAAGACGAATGATTCACAATCTACAAAGAAATTCATTTCAGCGTGTTACTAATCGTTAATCAAATTAAATTTTACGAGGTGCATTTAATACATCTTTCTTAGAAGATCATTACGAATCATTTAAATGTATAGAGGTATGCAAAAGTACCATGCGTTTCATAGTGCTCATTTATTCATCGCTCATCGCTCTTTAAGTGAGAGTATCCCTTATGGAAAGGAAAGTCTTTGAAATTGTGAAGAAATGTGTGTGAATGCGCATTTCAAATAACCTAGTCGTGCAAATTTCTTGAAAATCAAAAATATTTTTCAATCCTCTTTAAATAAATACACATTTTATATTGACAATAATATGAGAATTGCACATTTCGTATTTGTACACAAACTTTTAGATTCAAATTTTTTGATCTAAAATATTAAAAATAAATACAATCAAATAGCCAATAATTTTTTACATACATTTCATTGCACTAACAAAAGAATGTTTTTAATCGTTATTTCTCTTTAAAACAAATACATAAAACTGCCAAGCCATTCATTTATCGTAAAAAATATACAATATTATCTATTATTTAAAATATATTCTAATAAAAATGTAGCTATTTTGAAAATAATATCGTAGTTTACACATTTTATTCCTTTTTTTTCACTCTTTTCTTTTTCTGTTTTGCCTTTTTTTTTTATTGTTAATTTTGTTTCATTTTGAGAACAGAGATAGATATGGCGTTAGTTTTTTCTCTGAAATATATCTGTGACAAATGCCACTAAAATTTTTAAACCCATACAAATAATACAATAATTCCAGCTCAGCGTCGATTCTAAAAGGACGCACCTCCCCCTCTCCCCTACCGCCTACCATCGACAGAACAACGAATCAAAAGAATTACAGATTCGAATGACAAGTGCGTCAGTGACGTAAGTTCAGCCATTCTTCATTATTAGAAATGCCGCTCATTCATCAGACTTTCCTCACCCGGATCCACTTTTATCCCGTAAAAAGAACGTATTTGCCCCGGGCGCATAAAGTCTCGGCTCCCATCACATAGATATTGTCATTATGCTCGCTTAATCCGCCACTCCACTCGCCCCAACTAATCTCCGATCTTTCATTACAGGCGGACGCTTAAGGGCCACTCGTCGAGGGTGACCTCGGGGCTCCTGCTGCTCCTGCTGCTCGCGCTGCCCACGGCGAGCATCACCGCCCATGCCGCCACCCTCCATCAGGACGCGGACGGCTTCACGACCCACAGGCCCGCGATGACCACAGAGATGGTCTATCAAAGCTTCGCGATCGAGCCAATGGACCAGACGACGGCGATCGGGAGCACGGTAACGTTGCCGTGCCGCGTCCTCAATCGTAAAGGTCCCATTCAGTGGACGAAGGACGATTTTGGCCTCGGGGCCGTGAGGAACCTAACTGGCTACGAGCGCTACACCATGATTGGCAGCGACGAGGAGGGTAAGTTGAAGAATAAGTCACGCAGCTGCGCTAACTTTCACAATGCCTCAAGTTCGCGAGTACTTGAACCAGGACTGTGGCGAATTGATAACGAGTGCCCCGAAGTCCAGCCGTTTTTGCGATTAAAAAAATAAACGGCGCACGAGCGCGAGCTAATAGTCGTATAAACAATCGAACTCAATTAAGTATATATATATATATATTAAATGATATTGTAATTTTATGATTTAAATTTTCATATTCCAACACTGAAGCTCGCTTAATTTACCAATTAGGCGCTTAACAAGCAATGATAGACGAGTCTAATTTAACGCGCTTCGCCTGATTAATCACAGGCGGCTTTATTCCAGGAGTAACAATGCAATCTAAACAAAGATTCCATATCCTGAAGCTTGATATGAGAATAGCTTATCCGCACATCTAAGCGTATTATTTATTAAAAAAAAAAAAACGTCTTTCGTAATTATTGCGTTTGAATACATTGATGTTATGGTTTGGGGATGCTAGAGCGCGTAAATTGTAAGCAAATAGTAAAAGCGTCCAATCGAAAATTCCTATTACTATTGTATTAATTGCAAGAGTTAGGATATTGGCAATAAGCATAATAATGAACAATTTATTTCGTAGCTGAACAAGGACACTGCTATGCTTAAGTCTCAATATAACATCGTAAGCTCATAATGATAAGTCATGTGACATAGCTACGACTATTTGTAAAAATATGCTTAAAAGCATCTGAGCAAAATGCAAATATATCGACTAAGCAACAGTGGCTAACAATTTGGAAGGTTGTCGATAAAGTAATTTAATCCAAGAAAATCGTTGCATCAAAAGTTTGAAGAAAGCTAAAAAACAAATTGCCCGTAAGAATGAAAGAAAAAGATGAATCGGCACAATTCAAAGAAACATAAAGCATTTAGATCAATAGGAGCGGATGCCAGGTTTATGAATCGGGAACGCAAGGCCAGTAAAATAGGTTTCCAATAACTTTCACATCTATTTCAAGTGCCAATGCATGAGGGACACTTCCTTTTCGATTCTCAATCTTTATTCTCTGTCTTTAACAAGCACTCCCGTTTTCCTGGCAAATTTTTAAGTACGTTGCGATTTTCGTGCCGCCACTCCATCTGGTCCATCATTCCTATTATTTTACCGTTATCGTTCCTACCAACACTCTAATCGACAAGCTCACCGTTTACGTAGATGCCCCGGGTGACACTGTATTCGCCCATCTTCATTATATAGACGAGCTTAATTTATAAGTCCGCGCATAGTACTCGCATCAGCATCTGCATATCGTCGTAAAAAATCTCATTAATAATGGTCGTTTGGTTTTTTTTCACTTTTCTTTTTCTACTTTTTCTCTTCTATTATTTTTTTCTTTTTGCTTGAATTTGTTGCAATCCGGTAGAACAGATTGGAAGAGAGTCAATTCGATTAAAAAGCTCGTACATAAAGTAGTACAATTCTCAGTATAGACATAAAGGAAGTAAGAATTTTATAAAAAGCACGGCTCCCTAAAGCTGTCCTATTTCCATTTGATTCGCGTGACCGAGCAGTTGAATAATAACTGCACGGTAAAACAACTGTAAAATCGCTTTCGGTAAAATACGGGCTCCTCGATAATGGAGCTTAAAAAATTACATAACCAGAATGAAATGGAGAATGAACGGCAAGTGGAAACATAATGAAAGGGAGAAAGAATAAAAAGAAGAAGAACGAGAAGAAGAGTAAGAAGAAGAAGAAGAAGAGGAGGAGGAGGAGGAGGAGGAGGAGGAAGAGAAAGAGAAAGAGGAAGAGGAAGAAAGTGAAGGAAGAAGAAAAGAAAGAAAAGCAATGGGCAAGAAAACTCCCGGCACTTTGTCCATGCCCCGACCACCACCCCACGGACGCCAACCGACCTCCGGACGTCCATTTGCACGGGGAGTCTCGAAAATCACGAGCTCGAGTTTAAATTAGTTTTGAAACGTCGAGCTATCTGCGAGTGTGTCTGACCAAGTTGCGTATCGCGGTGGTCTTTTTAATTAAGAGCGCAGAAGCGAATGAATCGTGGCGAGATATCGAGGCTGGCCAAGACCGCGGTAGCATGCTAGTTTATCAAAGCGTAGGAAGTGAGAAACTTTCCAGCAGGGCATCGAAATCACTTTCCCAAATCCAGGAGCTGAATTAGGACTTGGGATCGAGGACGTCCCGGAAGACATCGAAGATGATGCTTTCAGAGCTGAGCTCACTCGATTGTGTCTGTCTGTTTGTCTGTCTGTCCGTCCGTCCGTCCGTCCGTCTGTCTGCTTGTCTCACAGTATGCGCCTGGCCTGTCTTCCTATATGCGCTGTATAAGTATGCGGGGGCGTTTTCGGTGACGCTTGTCCTGAGGATAGGTTGAAGCGCGCATTAGTAGGAGCTCCTTTTACAGAAATATTCGAGCTTAGCGATATATTTATAATACAAACTGATGCTGTGGCCCAATGAAACGCCGTTGACTTTCGGTAGAGACTTTGTCGGATTTGGTTTGATTGAAAATGATCTGTATTATCCTTCTACCGGCTATGAGCAGATGCATATTTTTCATAGCCTCGCTGTAATTATAATATCCGTGACAGGTGTTAATTTGATTTTTGTAGAATGATGAATAGGGCAAGTTGGTTACTTTAAGGGAAAAATTTTCAACTAATCTTACTGGGGGTCGATAAAAAAGTGAATTTACAATATACAGATTGTAAAAGAGAAGATATTATGGCAGGCAAAGTATGTCTCTATTATTTTGTAAAGTAGCAGATTCATAAAATTCAGCATTATTTAAGACGTATTTTAATAATATATAGCTTTCTGTTTATATTTCATTATAGACTTTTAAATTGCGAAAAGTATGCTTAAAAAATACAAAAAAAAAAAAAAAAAAAAAAAACTACCATTTTTAAACGAAATGACCGTGGGCGACGAATTTGTAAAGATAGCATAGTCGACGTCAGGGGCGTCATCGTAAAATTCGATCGATCAAGCTGCTACGTTGGCAACGTGCGCATTCATATTTCAACTATTTCAACAAAAATATGCATATTCGTAAGTACGACGGAGCTCTTCATCTGTACAGCAGCTACGCTCACCTGCCGGCTACAATAAACGAATAAAGTTATTGCGCAAGCGATGAGCATGACATCGTGACTGTCAAATGCAATCAGCACTCATCCAGCCGGCATATAGCCTCGGCAAACAATTTTATTTCTAATTTCGATTCGTTTCTATGCTTTCTTTTTAATTAAACAGACACAAAAGCGTGGAAAGCTTTCCAGAAGGGAAATGCGAATGAAAATTGGGCCGTTGAATCGGCCGTTGTTTTATAACTTGTTTACGCTCTTAACGCAATACTGTGCTCGAGCATTTCGACAGGCAGACAGACAGAGAATATTGGCCTCGGCGATGCTTTCAATAGCCCTACAATCCAGATTGAAAGCTAAATCTTTATCTTTGTGCATTTACTCGTGGCACTGTGTACAATACCCGCATCGATATATTAAGATTTCGCATAAGGCTTGTCGAAACATTTATTATCTCTTGAAAATTTTATTCGTTCATGCTGAAAAAAATAGCTAAATGAACAAACGAATAAATTAAAAAAATCAACGCGCGACAAAATTTCACGACATTTATTCATATACTCGCTCAACTATCATTCGTTAATACTAATTGCTTTAAGATGTCTATATTCCAGATGTGTGCTAGTGTGCGCGTGTGTGCGCGCGATCGCGATTCCGTGCGTATTTCTGTACCTATTTTAAACAAAGTTATGAAAATTACTCACGCATAATTAAGTATTTTTCATCGTGGATCAGTTTCGCTCTATGTCACTAATGAATAGAGGATAAATAATAAATATGCCTGGTAGTAGCGAAGACTCGATAAAAATAATATTAAATTGAGCTTGCGGTCGGACACCATCAATTACGCGGACTCTCGTTAGTCCGCTCCACTAATGAATTTTCAAAAATATTTTTTCTCACTTATTTATCCAATATTAATATATAAAAACTCGCGCATACTTATGCAAAATTATTCAAAGTAATAAATTATAAGAAAGAAAGCATAAAACTAAAGTGCCATAAATTACTTAAAATGACGAAAAACTGTAAACTTTAGGTTATAGCTGAACTATAATTCATGAGGTATTAAGTTTAAACTATAAATTAAAGTGCCTGTTCCGGCGCTGGTTTCTTCAATGTGTATTCCCAGCACCATAATGGCTGCTATCTTTAGAGGAAGTTGTAGTAGTATGAAGAGCTACGAGGCAAAATGAACCTACCAAGTTTTAGCGCGATACAGTAACGGAGGCCATAAGGAAATTCATATGACTTTACGGAATAAGATGAATCTATTAACAAACTTAGACGCGCCTTTTGTTAATCACGATTCTAAATTTTAGAGTGACAGGTAGAGAATATTCTCTAATGTGTATTATAAATATGTCGTTCCTCTAAATGCGTCCAAACGTTCTTTCGATTAGCCTCATAATCTTTAATTACCTTTGTAAGTACAATTACAATTGCCTCTTAAAGACTCACACGGCAAAATCCAAGTCAATAATAAGCTCGTCGATGACGTACAATGAATATTTCAAATAAATATTCGCGGATCCTGGAAAATTTGAAAGCTTCATTTCCCCGCTTAGAATTAATTTGAATCTGACATAGATGTCCGCATTATACTGTCTTATTTTAATTGACAGTCTTCACTTTGAAAGCTTTTAGATGCTAATGTCAGTTAGAGATCAGATATAATTAGTAGTAGCGAATTAAATCGCGAATGTGCTTTCAATATATTAAGCAAAGATATTAATAAAACACCACTACACGATTTTATTTCATATTTGATTATAAAATTTTGAACTAAATTAAAGAATATTGACGCGATGAATGAAGCAATGATTCGCGCGACACGTAAGATGTGTACACGAGGTAACGAGAGAAAAATCTACATGGCAGTAGAGGCACTGATATTATAACGTGGCGGCAGCAATTATGTAACGAAACGAGCCCACTAATCCGACAATTACCTTCTTCTCCTCCCCAGCTTTTCACTTTCTCCCTTTCTGCTCTATATCGACACTTTGTCTTTTCATATTTCACTCTTAGCTTTTTTTATCCATGCTTTAAGGAGGAGTTTTCTAAGACTCATCCGAGTGCCAATATTTTACAGAGAGAGATAGAGAGAGTAAGGTAGAGATAGAGAGAGGTAGAGAGAGATAGAGAGAGAGAGAGAGAGAGAGAGAGAGAGAGAGAGAGAGAGTGAGCAAGAGTGGTTTGGGCGGAGGGGGGAAGAGGTAGAGAGAGAAATGAATTTTCGGAGCTTTTCGAAGACTGGTTCTACGTATGTACAATACGGTTATGACAATGAGCTTAAAGTGCAAAGATAAAGTGCGAATGACTTATGAACCCGAAGAACGATCTTTTAATTTATAAAGACAAGGATCGTGATATTTTTACCAGCGACTTACTCTCGCAATTACTAATACGTAAATTTTCAGCCGAATGAATCTACCTCCACTGCAAAACTCAAATCGACAACTTATTCACCAGATCTTTTAAAATGCAGCTCATCACCAAACATAATCGCACGCTTTCTACAATTGGCGGTAACATCGTTAATTATGCTCATAGAAATGCATGTGTGCGAGAACGAACGACCCAAGGAAAATCTTGATTCCCCTGGTGTACACTTCTTAACAGAGAGAAGTCGCGGCGCAATGCCAGGCGAAAGTGCGAGAACGAGGGTGGTTAATTGGTTGGTTGGTTAGTTTGGCGAGAATTGGGGGGGGGGGGGGTGTATAGACGAGTGAGTGTAGAGGAGCTTATGATTAGCGCAGAGGCCAATGGGGTTCCATTCACGCAAAAGTAATTATCGGAAATATTTCACAGGCGCGAGTCGTTGCATACACGGGATTGCGGTGTGTCTGGGCACGACGGGAACGACGGG